CTTTAGAAACTCAGAAGCTGATCAAATATCGGGTTAAATATCGGTGGGGTGGCCGATGTCCGATATTCAGTTTTAAGGCCGATACCGATAGGGGGCCCATTATATCGTGCATCCCTAATAAAAATTATGTATAATGTCAGCTCTGTAGAGCAGTGGTCCCCAAACTACGGCCCGCCTCCACATTTGGTCCGGCCCCCTGAACAATACCAGAGAGTAAATTTTATATAAGTGTATTTTTTTTTTTTTTTGTATTTGATAATAAAGTTAGAAATTTGCAATAAAATGTCCCTTTATCATGAAGTTTTTTCATTATTAACTATTAGTAACTATTTCATACACACACGTGACAATGTTCCACCCTTTTGGGGTCTGTGTCCCTATCTGGCAACCCCCAGAAAAAAATCTTAAACCCGCCCCTCTCAAAGACATACGGAAGAGGATTAGGGCCATTAAAAAAAATAAAAATAATATTCTATTCGATTCTGACTTTTTCCTCAGAATTCTGACTTTATTCTCAGAATTCTGAGACAAAAGTCAGAATTCTGAGGGAAAAAAAGTCGGAATTGATTAGTCTTTTTTTATTTTAAATGGCCCTAATCTTCTTCCGTAAAGAGAGAACTGAATAATGGCAACAAGATTAGGTAAGAGAGAAATTAATTCAGAATGCAGGGCATTTAACCTGAATTGGACAAACGATTATCTTTTTTGTTCAATGGAAAGAAAAGGCTGTCTGTCTCATCTGTGAAGAGGCGGTGGCGGTATTCAAAGAATATAACCTGTGAATATAACCTATGAATCCCTTCATAAAGACATAAATCCCGTCATAAATTTAGGCACTCTTGCAATCGTCACAATTTTTCTGTTACAAACTGACCCCGGCCCCCCATCAGAGAAGGGAAAAGTTATATGGCCCTCACAGGAAAGGGTTTGGGGACCCCCGCTCTAGAGGAAGCATTTAACATGAATGTGTGTTAAAGCTGCAGTGTGCTTTTTTTCTAATGGTCAGACTGCAGCGACATGAAACGCTCCCCCTACTGCTTCTCCTGTTCCAACAATACGGAGGCTGTCATGGTACAAAATACCTTCTGCTATGTCTGCTTTACCTTTCTTTGTTAACTGATGATGAGGGTTTACATTAGATCGCAGCATCAAATCTAGAAACTCTTTAACACTGTTGTCTCAGGAACAGCGACAGGTTCAGTACAGACCAAAAGTCTGGACACACCTTCACATTCAAAGAGTTTTTTTTTTATTTTCATGATTATGAAAATTAAAGATTCAAGTCAAGACTATGAATTAAAACATGTGGAATTATATACTTAACAAAAAACTGTGTAACAACTGAAAATATGTCTTATATTCTAGGTTCTGTAAAGTGGCCACCTTTTTCTTTGATTACTGCTTAACACTCTTGGGATTCTCTTGTTGAGCTTCCAGAGGCCGTCACCTGAACTGTTTTCCAACAGTCTTTAAGGAGTTCCCAGAGATGCTGAGCACTTGTTGGCCCCTTTTCCTTCACTCTGTGGTCCAGCTACCCCCAAATCATCTGGACTGGGTTCAGGTCCGGTGATAGTGGAGGCCAGGTCATCCGGTGCATCACTCTCCTTCTTGGTCAAGTAGCCCTTCCACAGCCTGAAGGTGTGTTTGGGGTCATTGTCCTGCTGAAAAATAAATGATGGTCCAACTAAACACAAACCGGATGGAATAGCATGTCGCTGCAAGATGCTGTGGTAGCCGTTCATTATGCATTCAATTTGGAACAAATCCCCAACAGTGTCACCAGCAAAGCACCCCCACACCATCACACTAGGGATGCACGATATAATCGGCCCCCTATCGGTATCGGCCTTAAAACTGAATATCGGACATCGGCCACCCCACCGATATTTAACCCCATATTTGATCAGCTTCTGAGTTTCTAANTTTAAAGTTCAAAAACAAACAAACAAATTCTTTGACAAAAACACACCCCACATTAAAAGATCACATTTCATCTGGACATTAATTATATTTTCAGAAATAAATATAACCAAGGTTATACTTGGTGAATCTTTGCACATATGTAGGGTTACTTTAAAGGTTTATTTTTGTTTTTTTACTAATTTAATTAGGGCTAAAACTATTAATCTGATTAATTGATTTTTGTAATAATCAACAGTAAACTAATTTAGTAATCGATTAATTATTAACTGGAGTATAGAGACTCTAAAACATTCCTCCAGCTGATAGAGCGACCCATTTAGAGCAGCAAAAAAAAAAACATATAAGCATTTTGCATGTAAGAAAAAAATAAAAATAATTTAATCTCTCAAAATGTTCTATCCAGAACTCCTCAGGTGGAAAAGTTTATTTTCACTTGGTTCAATTCACTAAAAAAACATCTACTTTAAGGAATCTTTTGCTGTCTGCAAATTAATTGCTAATTAATTGTTAATAATTGCTAATTGCAGCCCTAATTCAATGACTTCACGCTGGCCTGCTAATAAAATAAGTTCTCCTGGGATTAGAGATCAGCGGTTTGACCATCATAAGTAAAAACCTAAAAGTAATAATGAAATCAAATCATATATTTATCACATGAAAAGGGAGGAAATATCACAAGTATGAGTAGAAAATATAAAAATAGTGAGTTTAGAGCAGAATTATTTTGTGGTGGGGAATTGGAGAAAAGTACATTTTTAGAAAATGTTATCAGTTCTTAGGATTTTTTTATGTTCGTTAGTTTTAAACGTGAATCTATAAAGGGTGTTGCCTTAGTGTGGTTGAATTATCAAAATATCAGTTTAAAAAAATAAATAAATTTGTTTTTTAATTATAAATATAGTATAACAATGATGTATAATGTCAGCTCTCTAGAGCAGTGGTCCCCAAACTACGGCCCGTGGGCCGGATGCGGCCCGCCTCCACATTTGGTCCGGCCCCCTGAACAATACCAGAGAGTATTTTC